AAATCATAGAAAATGCCACCTTTCATAGAAGACATATCCTCGAAGACAATTTGAGATATCATGCATGACTGTATTGTCCGTACGACTAAGAGCCAATATTAATTATCTAATCTCAATAGATCTAACAGAAAGTAGAGGTCTTGCTCTGGGCCTTTGATCTCTCTCAGATGACTACTGACAAATTGGCAACCATCAATTTCATTCTGTTTTCATGATGTTATCCATATAGTGAGGCAATCTATCAAAGAAGGGGGGGGGGGTATAGCAACATACTTCTATTGGAGTTAGCATGTAGGTTGTTGGATTGGTCATCCTTTATTTGGGAATCAAGGGGGAGGGTAACGAAACAGGAGAATACAGCCAACATACATGAATTCACACATTTTTGGTTTGGAGACGACTTCTCAGATATTGAAAGTGTTCATACAGTAATCTCTAGGTTTGTTATATCTAAGTTGTATGTGTAAATATATGGGTAAATATACAGGATTATACAGGTGACATTGGTTTATCCCAACTTTATTGTGGGAGTAGAAAATCTGATTATAGGATGTGAAGATTTGAAGCCAATTCCCTTGGAAATGCTGAAACAAGAGACAGATTTCTCTGTAGGCTTCCTCTGCTATTGATTATCACAAATGAAATGAAATAGAAATATTGAATTTTTAATTAATAACACCTGTATATGTTAAAATGACTCATAATGGTTCTATTTAATCATTATAAATATAGAGATAAGCAATAAAGTTTAATTTAATATTCATATTTAACATCACATGATTTTAATCTGAGTGATTCAACACTAAGAGTGATAATTATTAAACTAGATCCAAGGTCATACTACTCCTAATAACTCCATGCCACAAGCATGATCTAGTGATATTACAACCATATGATGGTTCCAAGTTCATACAAAGGCATTAACATGCAAAATGCCACTACCTGCCATTTGTTACAGACATCAACCTGGTTTCAACCACCGAACACCAACCACCAACCTCAAACACTGTCTACTAATATTTTTTCTAGACATGGGGATTATATCCATTATATGATCAACTTCATGTTTGGCCTTGTTTAACACTCCACATGTATAAAGGGCTTAAGTTTAACCCTAATAGTCAAGAAGACACACAACATCACCAAATAGTTGAAATAGGCCCAAAAATATTTTGAAATATATGTGTTTTCCATCCCTTTTATTCTGAAGTCTGATCCTACTACAAATTTAAAATAAAAATTTTGATAACATTATCTGTTGACTTAACACAAAACTGTTTTGAGTTAATAATTGATAAAGGTTCGATAAAAACAGCAAATATATACCATTAGATATCTTATGAATATTTTATGATGTTTTAAAGAGATGACAATGTATCCATTAGTAGACTACACCCTCCATCCACAATGTCAGAGCCTTGTTTATATTAGATGGGGATGAAGCTTTCTTTTAAGAAGCAATACCAAACTGTTGGTAAGACAGGAATAACCTTTCAGATCAGGCTTGAACTTCTGAGGAAAATGTCCCAAAAATAGAAATAAACACACTTTGAAACACCCTTGACAAATGTTTCACAGCCTGGTCATAAAACTCATTTACATTATGATAAAAATACCTTTATATGTTAATCTGTTAATCTGTAAACATATTTTGAAAAGGCTGGTAATATTATGTAATTGACAATATCTATGATTCATTCCATTCCACCTTGGAGCTTATCTATTGTTTACAATACACTAGTATTATATATCTAATTAAAGCCAGACTTTTGTAGAAGGGCATATTTCCTCTTCCTTAATCTTTCTAATTCTCTCTTAGAAACCCTAATATAACACCTGCTGTGTTTATTTAACAGATTAGTGACCTTCCTACAGTCGAAGCACCTATTTGACCTTACTGGTAGTCTCCCATAAAGCCCATGTATCTCTACAGATTTTGGCCTAGTGGCTTATGCAAGACTACCTCATTTGCAATAATGAGTGAAGAAACCAGAAGTAAAAGAAAAACATCGTGGAATTTTGCGATATTTTTTCACCAGATTATTGTTAAGCATTTCTGCTTGCCATCAAATGTAAAATGTCATAGAACATGTTTATATATTTTAGCATTCCAATTCATTTTCATTTAGTATACAGTACTTCCAAACAGATTATCTTCTGAGCTCCAATATTAGCTTTCTTAAATATCAGTTTGTTCACTTCAGCCCTCAAAGTTTAAAGGCAGTCAGATATATCATGTATATAGAGGTTGACAAAATTGAGCATATTAAAACTTTTTCGACTATGAGATTTGATTGTCTTACAAAGGGCCTCACATTCAATTTTGAAGATAATTTTGGGAAAGCTCTCCATTTTCTGATAAAATTGAAAATCTAAAATTCATGGTGATTAAGATTTGTTAAAGTCTTAAATCAAAGAAATATTTACTCTAATTTGCTCTTTGAATATTATCACAAAATGTCACTAAAATGGCTTCTTTATCATATATGAAAATATTAAAGCCAAGGAATACTAAGTTCAGCAACAAGTATTCTTTCTGTAATCAATTAAAATATCAAGCCCAAGAAGTTACATTCTGATGAAAAAAGCATGAATTACAAGTGTTTGATCAAGACAACTATAAAGATGCTTACTTGATAACATGTGATGAACAAAGCTGCGAAGGCAAAGACGCCTGAGATGGCCTGGGCTGCATGCGTCTGTAGGAATATACGCTCTATGTGTGTTCCATTGTTCAGATCAATATAAGAAGGCGTGCCATTATGGATGGTGGTAGAGGGTGGGGTTGGTGCAATAGTGCTTGTGGATGGAATAGTTACATTGTCTGGCATCTGAAATGGAATGAGACATGTCATTTCAATTAATATCAATTCTGAATACTAAATTATTTATTTGGTTGCTGCATATAATATTTGAAGATCCCTCCCATTTCATAATTTGTTAATTCATGTATTAATAATGAATCAAGCAAAAAATGGAAGAACATTAAACCCATCTATTCAGAAGACTGTTTACCTTTAGAGAGGTTAATAATTATAACAGCAATAAGTGAAAAATAATACAATACAATGAGCATGAAAGTCCAAAAGAGAGAACAGCCTTGCAATGAGGTAGGTGTAAAGACCAAACCATAAAATACAATTAATTTGTACATTGAAAAAAGCTTGATTCATATCATGGAATTCAGCTTCATTCCATCAAGTCCATGTTTAATTCCAAGAAAAAGATGGAAACAAAAACAGAAGATAGCATAATAAAGTACCAATGTTTGCATATCTTTTGTAGTCTCATCTCAATGGATATGGAATCAAGGCTACAATATCATAATTAATAATAATGAGTCTCGTTATTCTCTCAGTTTAGATCAGACTTCCATTTTAACTTCAATTGTTTAATTCAATTTATTCATCGATCTTTTCTTTAAATTTCAGGCCTCTTTTTTGAAGAGCAATTACTAGACCCCTCTCCGAGTCAATTGTTACACAGGCATTCCGTGCAAGTTTCTCTCTTTTGGTTGATTTAAATTCCAAATGAGCACCCGCACTTGTGAATCATTTTAACTTTTTCGTATTAGGCATGCAGGAAGATTTGAAGCAAAAACGAGCCTGTTGCAGATTGCTCTACTTACTCAGTGCAAGTTTAACGTCGGAAAATTCAAAAATTCAAAATATTTTCCCATAAACATGAGACAATAAGAAGTGACACATCACACAAACTAAGTAAGTGACAATGTTCTAAAAGTGTTCTGTTACAATGTCTGTGTTCCCCGGGAAAATCCCAGGGTTTTGTCAAAGACAATGGCAGTTGATTTTACTGTTGACATATGTCATTTTTCGGAATGACAGCAAATGGTACCCCTCATTTTTAACTATATATCAATCCCAAAGCATGTATAATTTCCATACTAGGGTAGCCGAACACCCCTCCCTTGAAATATATAAGGAGGTTAAAACCCATAACCGCACCGAGAGGTACCTTAAGAATGACCTTGATTTTTATGGATCCAAAATGAAATTTCTAGCAAGAGCAAAGCCAGGTCCAACTTTTATAACGATGTAGAGAAATGTTTCTCCGATTTTAAGTAGCAGTTTATTGTCTTCGAACATTCTAATAGGTTAATTACACTTCTTGGTGATAAGGTTGCTACATAACAATATGTCGGGAAGAAAAAAACATGAAAATGTTGCTCGGAAAGAAGTTCAGAGCAGGGGTAATATCATCGAATACACCCCTTAGGGCTAGGCACAAAAGCTTTCGAACCCCTCACTCCCTTTGGTCGTTCGGGGTACAGAAAACGTTTGTGCCTAGCCCTGCGGGATGTATTTGACAATATTACCCCTGCTTTTCGGTCTATATTTCTTAAATAACAGCATACTGAGGTCAGATTTATATGACTTCCAAATACATGACTTCTCGATTATTTTTGGTCACTGGTCTATTAGATAAGTGTGCACGATGTTCATGGGCACCAATATAAAACATACTGAATATAGCCGAGACCTTTCAATAAAACTTATTGTTATTTATTTTTATTAGATTCAGAGTTTATGATTCAGAAGCATGAATCTTACTCATAGTCTCTGACATTATGATTTTCCTTGACTTTGAAAATTGGACCCTGACTTTTCCAGAAATCTTTATTTCTGTCCCTTATATATGAGAAAACACAATCCAAGGCTTACCTTCGTGAGATAGATTTATGACTCAAGTATTCAAGTAGCGTTCAGGTACTTCTAAATGGTTACAAAAGCAGTATTTGCTTGATAAATCCAACATTTCAGAGAAAGCATATCAAAACAGTTCTGAATTTCATATTTATTTCATGACGTCATTCTGGCCGCTTACACATCACCGAATTATGATAATGTTATAGATAATATAAATAATATAATGTTTGTAATAATGAAAGTGAAGCGTTGATATGTAACGAATGTAATAAATTTAAAATTCAAATCGATAAAACTCTTAAGTAGGGCAAATAGTTGCTAATGATGTTTCGGCATTGACCTACATCACACTTTTTTGAAAAATCTAAAATAAAGTTCGATTTTGACAATTAAGGAATTTTCTCATCCACGAAAGTGACACTATGTGGTTTGTACTATTATTTGCATTCGTCCTTATTCTACTGATACTGGTTTTGATTACGTACTGTCGTTCTGACGTCGATAGTAACAAAGTTTGTGTCGTCGTTCTTGGGGATGTTGGAAGGAGTCCACGCATGCAGTATCACGCAATATCGTTAGCCAATGAAGACTACTTGGTGGACATAATTGGCTATTCAGGTAGGTAAACAGTTTACAATAAAACCTGTGTATTCCAACACCTCTTATCTGCTGAACACCTTTGGGTTGTCAAAGTGGTGTCTTGAGGGTTTGTGTAAAAAACCGGGTACCCGGTCGACCGGGTACCTAACATTCTTAGCAGGGTTACCAACTTTCAAAGTTCCACATTTCCCCCGATATATAGTAGCGAATTGACTTGACAGACTTAGCCTACCGAGTGCATTGCTGTTTGATATTTTTACCCTAGATACGAGACAGAGCACTTTTTAAAATAATCGATCCAGCAAGCAGTGACGTCCACGTCACATTGCTCATAAGTAGCATATAAGTTCCTAGAAGACGTTGCTTATTTTCGTTCTTTACACATTGAGGCAACGTAAACATGAGACATCTATTGATGGTATAAAAAGAACGTTGTTGTAACGTGTCCGTAAAGTTCGTTAGTGTGGAAAACATAACAAACAGGAACGTTTGATTTTTTACTACATTGGTCCATATGTGACATAACTCAAACGTTAAAATTCAACGTTGTCAAAACAGGGTTTTAATATCAAAATATTTGTTGGTAGAAAAAAACATGACAAAAACTTTGTGTTCTCACTAAGCCGGTTCATTTCCGACGTACTGTTAATGTTAGAATTTAACGTTGTCGAAACGTTTTTTCGATTTGAAATAACCTCAAAAAGTGTATTGATCTAACGTTATTTAAATATTCAGCAAAACGTCGATGGATGGTTGAATTTCAACATTGTGGAAATGGCTTCAAAATATTTGTGAGTTAAGGAAACGTTACAAAGACGTCAATATGTTCTCACTAAATCTGTTCATTACCGACCTTGTTTTAACGTTAAAAGTTAACGTTGTCAAAACGTTCTTACGATGTGAAATAACCTCAAAACGTGACGTCGAAAATAACGTACATGTATCGTCCAGATCCAACGTTATAAATAAAAAATCCTAACCCTGCTAGGAACTTTAAGTACCCGGTCACCCGGTTATCTGGTTACCCAGTCACCCGGTTTTTTACACAAACCCGGTGTCTTGATGTGGAACACCGCAGGCCTGTCAAGTGTCCCGTAACTCGAAGGATTTTTCTGCAATGTCCCGCAAAAAATCGAGAGCAGAATATATCCTGTATTGCACTTCAAATCATTCTGTAACTTTATCGTGTAATCTTAGGCCAATACATTTTACTTAGCAAATAATCCCTAGAGGAATCAATACTGTACCAATATTTTCTGTATACAGATTGGTACGGAACAAAAACCGACCAATTAGAGGGCTTTATTTTACAGATCATATGAACAGAGCAGATGAAATATCATTGAATACACCCCTTAGGGCTAGGCACAAAAGCTTTCGACAGAACATGTTAATGTAATACTATGAGCTGACCATGTTAATGTAATACTATGAGATGACCATGTTAATGTAATACTATGAGCTGACCATGTTAATTGTAATACTATGAGATGACCATGTTAATATAATACTATGAGATGACCATGTTAATGTAATACTATGAGCTGACCATGTTAATGTAATACTTTGAGCTGACCATGTTCATGTAATACTATAAGATGGCCATGTTAATTGTAATAATATGAGATGACCATGTTAATTAATAATATGAGCTGACCATGTTCATGTAATACTATAAGATGGCCATGTTAATTGTAATAATATGAGATGGCCATGTTAATTGTAATACTATGAGATGGCCATGTTAATTGTAATACTATGAGATGAGCATGTTAATGTAATACTATGAGATAACCATGTTAATGTAATATTATGAGATAACCATGTTACTATAATACTATGAGATGACCATGTTAATGTAATACTATGAGATAACCATGTTACTATAATACTATGAGATGACCATGTTGTAATACTATGAGATGACCAATGCTAATGTAATAAACCATGTTACTATAATACTATGAAATGACCATGTTAATGTAATACTATGAGATGACCATGCTAATGTAATACTATGAGATGACCATGTTAATGTAATACTATGAGATAACCATGTTAATATAATACCTTGAGAAAACAATGTTAATATTATACTATGAGATAACCATGTTAATGTAATACTATGAGATGACCATGTTAATGTAATACTATGAGATGAACATGTTAATGTAATACTATGAGATGAACATGTTAATTGTAATACTATGAGATAACCATGTTAATTATAATACTATGAGATGACCATGCTAATGTAATACTATGAGCTAACCATGTTAATATAATATTATGATATGACCATGTTAATATAATACTATGAGATAACCATGTTAATGTAATACTTTGAGATGACCATGCTAATGTAATACTATGAGATAACAGTGTTCGCGTTGACGCCGTATTTTGCCATTTTTACGGAAATTTCAGAAGGTTGGACGTAAAAATCAAAATCAACTTACGTCCCTAGGACGCAAAAATTATAAACTGCTTCAAGATAACTTTTACTGCAGCACAGTAGCGGTGAAACATGATTTTCATCAAGATTTTCAAACTCACTACCTTGATATACGGCGAGCAATGCATGATCCAGGTATATTTATATCGATAAATCTGATTGGCTATCATGACTACCGAAGATTAACAGAGTTTCCAGTATGAGACATGGATTTTGATTGGTTCCGATATGTTCCGGAAAATGCCGCAATCGAAATGGAAGATCAAAACATACAATATTGCAGAAATCCCCTGTGGTTCCCCACAAATTGAAACGATTGTTTTTCACGATTATTTTTATTATTTCCACTAGAAACCATTATATATCGATCTAATGTTATACATCAAGATAATTGTTTAATGATAGATCGAGGTTTTTCATCTAAAAGTCTTCAGAATAAGGAGAAATGTTAATAAAAAGAAGCAAAAGTTCACGACCTTGACATGACTTTCAAGATCGCAAGTTTGTAAAATGTGAAAACAAAACTCTTAATTTGAGCATTTCCTTTATTCATTTCGGACTATTTTGGTATAACATTACTTAAGAATTGTGTGCAAAGGACCCAGTGATAGATATTTATCGGGAGGATGCATCAAATTACAATATATGTCATTTTTATCCCATTTTAGTGTAAGTACTCTATTATCGCCCACTTTATTTTCACTTTCACAATATTTTCTTGAACTTTGTGAAGAAATAAGAGGGACGCAAAAAAATTAGATGGGGACTCAAATTTTTCAAATGGGTTGCGTCCCTGGGACTCAGAAATTTTAATGGCTAGCGCGAACACTGGATAACCATGTTAATATAATAATATGAGATGACCATGTTAATTAATAATATGAGCTGACTATGTTTATGTAATACTATAAGATGGCCATGTTAATTATAATAATATGAGATGGTCATGTTAATTGTAATACTATGAGATGGTCATGTTAATTGTAATAATATGAGCTGACCATGTTAATGTAATACTATGAGCTAACCATGTTAATATAATATTATGATATGACCATGTTAATATAATACTATGAGATAACCATGTTAATGTAATACTATGAGATGACCATGTTAATGTAATACTTTGAGATGACCATGTTAATGTAATACTTTGAGATGACCATGTTAATGTAATACTATGAGCTGGCCATGTTAATGTTATACTATGAGCTGGCCATGTTAATGTAATACTATGAGATGCCCATGTTAATGTAATACTATGAGATGACCATGTTAATGTAATACTATGAGATAACCATGTTAATATAATACCTTGAGAAAACAATGTTAATATTATACTATGAGATAACCATGTTAATGTAATACTATGAGATGACCATGTTAATGTAATACTATGAGCTGGCCATGTTAATATAATACTATGAGATGATCATGTTAATGTAATACTATGCGATAACCATGTTAATGTAATACTATGAGATAACCATGTTAATATAATACTATGAGATGACCATGTTAATATAACACTATGAGATGACCATGTTAATGTAATACTATGAGATAACCATGTTAATGTAATACTATGAGATGAACATGTTAATGTAATACTATGAGATGACCATGTTAATGTACATATTGTGATGCTTCATGAAAATGTTGGTTGTTGAATGGAAAAACCAAAGATTTAAAGAATTTAAACTTTGTCCCAATGGAGGTTATGGCCCACACTTTTTTTTAGAAAAGTTGAAAAAGTCATGGAGAATGATTTAAGTAACATAAATGTATAAATCAAAGTTATTTTTGTGGAAAACTTTGCTGAATTCAAATATGTTATAAAACAAAGGAAATGTATGTCATGTAGGCATGAGTATGCAAATCTCACGAAAAATGAGATTTAAAGCTATATAGAGCTGACTCATTTATTGACTAAACACTAAAGATGATTATGACAGGGTGTTTTTGTGCAGAATCACGAAATTCAATTTTTTTTATTATTTATATTTTCAGGATCAAAGCCTCCAGAGGAACTTCTAAATAATGAGAACATCATGCTACATTTTATGAGACCACCCCCAGATATTGTACAAAGTAAGTTATATTCTTTATTAGTTGCTTAACGGTCATTTATACATTTATTAGATTTATTGTTTTTATCGCACCCTTGGGTGCTATATTGTGATCAGTCTGCAGATTGGGCGGGCGGGTATGTGTGCCTTTGGACAGGCTTCCCGATAAACCTTGGCTAAGGTTTCCAGCCAGACCGTTACAGGGATTCATCTGAAATTTTCATGGATGCTTCAGATGTGTCTACGAATGAAAGCCAAGAGCTGATTAGTTTTTTTGGCATTCTGGGTAAATATTAAGGTGGCCATTTTGGTTTTCCATCATAAAATCTTGTCTGTCTAGGCTTGTCTAGAGGTTTCCAGCCAAACAGTTTCATAGATTCATCTGAAATGTCCAGGGATGTTTCTACTTATGAAACTTAAGGACTGATTAGTTTTTGGGCATTCTGGGTAAATTTTAACATGGCCAATTCAGATTATCCGTCCTGAATTCTCGTCTGTAAAGGCTTGTCTACAGGTTCCCAACCAAACCGTTTAAGGGATTCATCTGAAATTTTACAGTTAAGAACTGATGAGTTTTTGGGCAGTCTGGGTAAATGTTTGGGTGGCCATTTTGAATTTTCCATCACGGAAAATGTATTCTATTCATGGATGTGATCCTGTTCACTCTGTCTTGTTTAATCATGTTTTGGTAGGTCTTTCCCCTGAGGAACCCTGGGGTTGTCACAATTCCCTAAGGGATGGAATGTTGCCGGATCTGAATAAGTTGAAAACAATCCTTTGCAGTGCTTTATTGTAGCATTATGCATGTTGATTATGAAGGGTCAAAAAATAAAATGCAATTGGCGCGAAAATTCTGAATGAACTGTGTTCGTTTTTTTGATTTTCACTGTTCGTATTTTGTTGATGTTCTTCTCTGGAAATATTTTTGCTTGACAATAATCAGAAAATGTGTATTTTGGTGACATATTCTGTCACGTAAAAAAAACTGGCGTGATTGCAATTTCTTCAGCAAATGCGTGACAAATATGCAAATTGCAGTTGACAGGCCTGTGAATTTTCTATAAGTCTGTGTACATGTACATGTTCAACTTACAATCATATGTAGTTATCTTACAGTTCTTTTATTACAGAGCTGCCTAAAATGTTGATATATCTGAGTAAGGTGGTTTGGCAAGCCACAGCTCTACTTTGGCTTTGTAGTAAAACCAGGAGGTACAAACATATAATATTACAAGTAAGTAAAATGGAAGATCAATGTTATGACGTGATGTTAAATAATTAAATAATTCAAGGTTTCCTCTCCTTGGCTCACCAATTAGAATAGAAATGTCATTTAGACTCTCGATCTCCCAAGTTAAACTACATATATACATTATTCCATAACTATTTAGATTCACAACAACACAGGGAAATATGTCACCTGTAATGAACAATAACACCAAATCTAACTAACTCGTTGCTGTTTCTTTGAAATCTTTCATTACTTATTTTATATTGAATGTTTATGTTCCAGAACCCCCCATCAATTCCAACAATGGCAGTGATGCTGCTGGTCAGCTATATACAGGGGAGTAAGCTGCTTATAGACTGGCATAATTACGGATATACCATTCTTGCGATGGCAGTTGGCAGTAAACACCCTTTAGTCAAAATTGCTAAGTGGTAAATACAAATTATCAAGCAATTGTAAACATCAGTTTTGGAATATTTTATGAACTTGTTACCATTGTTAATTGTAGTGATATCTTATGAACGTCTATACAACTCGGACAGTAATTCCCAAAGGGACTGTATTCTCTGTTATTTTTTGCAGGTATGAGCATAAACTAGGGAAGTTCTCAAAACACAACATTTGTGTCACCAATGCTATGAGGGAAGATCTCAAAAGCAATTGGGGAATAAGGTATGCCCATTAACAAATACTTATATTCACTTTATAGTCTTAATTGAAATTCTCTTGTAGCCAATTAATATTTTACTAATTGAGATATTTCAATTTTAGATGAATTATTCAATTATTCAATTATTTTTCTAAGTTGTAATATTGAGAATGTAATATTTAAGTTTTTCAAAATATACTGGAACTAAAAATTTTATGATTCATTCACAATTCTTTATATTTTTATTTTTTAGTGCTGAAACAGTTTACGATCGGCCTCCAGAGAAGTTTAAAGAATGTGACACTTCAGCCAAACATGAGCTGTTCATAAAACTTGCTGAGAGTTATCCAGTCTTTCGGCATAGGTAAATAATTGAATTGTCTTAGAATCCATATTTACAAATAGACAAATCATCCAGTGAATCATTCCAACTTTTAGTTATGCTAATAACATGGTACAAAAATTATTAAAGATACCAAAAGCATACTAAGACAAGGCATTAACATGATACTGTACTTCCAGTATTTCTATGCATGCGATTTAGTTTCACCCTTTTTGCAAAAAATAATTGTTGCGAAATTCGCAAATTAAATCCTTGGGAATTTGTTATTATCTGGAACTCTGATGTGTTTTGTTTTGTGTAAAACATTTGTCCTGTGTTATTGGGTGATAAATGGGATACTTGCAACAATGTTTCTTACACTGACTTATTATATCAGAAAATGATGATGTAATAGAGGTTGGTTTGCAGCTTACTGTTCTCCAAAATCTAGAAATTATAAATCTTATTCACATATGACACTGGTTTAAGTGTATCTACTGTTCAAAAGGCAACTTAGTTTACAAAGCTTGAGGATATATAGAGAATAATGAAATTTGAACTTGAATTTAAATGTATTTTCATGGGCTTGTGGAATATTTTCAGTGGTATTTTCAAATTCATCATGAAATCAATTGTTAGAAAATATAGATGGTACAGTTGTAGTAAAACCAATAAAGAAGTTGATGAAGTGATGTTTATTTGCAATTTCACTCTCAACTTCCAGTATTAATCTCTTGACTTTAGTAGGAAACCAAAGCATTTTTCCTTTTTGCCAGTTTTTGATATTTTACAAGGGACAACAAGTGATGCACAGTAACATAAATGTAGAGGGCATTTAGATTATGTTCTGTGTATGATTATCCCTCTATTCTTCCAAGGTCATTTTTTGTGAAGAGAAAATTAGAAACCATGCTGCCCTGGCTAGTCTAAATGTTAATAGACTAAAACTGTAAAATAAGAATAATATAATAATAAAAATAGAATAAGTGTACAAAACACTACAATACAAATCAATCACTATATCTTTGCTATGCTAGATTTGCTAAAGCTGATTTAGATTTTTGATAAAATTGGTTCATTTATTGTAAATTACTATAAGTGATATACATAAATACAAAAAAAGTCAGGTATAAAAAACCAACAACAATTTGGGAGATTTCAGTTACTTTTACAGAAATATATTTAGAATTTCATTTACAGAATTGTCCCTTTGAAGTTGTGCACTCTCATTAAACATAATGCTTAATTACACTCACCTTAATGAGATTTTAATGACAGGTTAATATGTAAATAAATCATAAATGATAATTTAAGTGTTGTGGGAGTTGCATTGTTTAGCACTTTAATAAATCAATTGTGTTTCTATTGATTTTTGCATTTACCTCAAGTAATACATTGAAGATTGGATCAATAACTAATATGTTTATTAATGATATTATAAAAACATATATTACAATTCCCGATGTATCATACAAATCGGCCTAATCTATTTGTATATTTGTGCCCTAGTAATTTCCCAAGCTTTATGAATATTTTATATAAGCTTGTAGTTTCCAGTGAATAAAAAGATGGAGCAGCGAGTTGGATAATTCTCATTTTCTACAATATCATGAGAAAGCAAATTGAATTAATTTACTTATTGAATATTAATAAGCTTAATAAGCTTCTCTTTTACACGTAAGCTTTATTATTTTGTCTAATTTATTAGTCACCCCTCGAATCACACTATTATAGCACCAGGACCTACTTGATAGCTGATTATGTGTTACAGATCTGATTCCTCAACATCTACAGCATTTACAGAGCAGCTTTCCGATGGTAGCATTCGGTTATTGCCCACTAGACCTGCCTTGTTAGTTAGTAGTACAAGTTGGACTGATGATGAGGACTTCTCTGTGCTTCTTCATGCCCTGGATAGCTATGAGACAGTAGCAGAGGATACGGGAGATCTACCAAAAATTATATGTGCAATTACAGGTATCTATCAAATAGGCTATACCTGGTATATATCAATTGAGCAATTAGAGGTATGTTTTAAATGTGCAATACCTGATATGTATCAAATGTGCAATACCATACATTTGCATATACATGTAATAGGTCTAATATATTTACTTCCAGTTGCATATGTCCAGTGATATCCTCCAATGACACATCCTTATGCCATCCTTTTGCCATCCTCATGTCAACCTTCTGTCATCCTTATGTCATCCTCATGGCATCCTCATGTCATCTTCATGCTACCCTTTTGTCATCCTTTTGTCATCTTCATGTCATCCTGTTATCCTCATGTCATCCTCATGTCATCTTTATGTCTATGAGGCACATAATTTTCTCTTCTTAACAAAAATAATTTTCACCTCAATCAAAATCATTATATCCTTTTACTGTAAATGGTGTCTCAAAGTTCATGATATCCTTTTAAGTGGTGTCTCAAAATTATGTTACCCTTGTGGTTTTAGGTAAGGGGCCTAATAAGGCATACTACAAAGCAATAATAGAGGAGAAGTTCTGGACGCACATCCAGGTTGTCACTCCTTGGTTAGAGGCAGAAGACTACCCTAAACTACTTGGTAAGTGTAAGCACTAAAGATTTAGGCAATTAAACATAGAAGGTGACCCATCAAGATGGCCAACATTTTCTCAAATATATAACATTCAACATTTAGGAATCTCAACCATGAATAACACTTTAAGGTAATATGAGGAAAATGTGGATCCCATTTTAGGGTTCACTTTATATTTTAATTTTTCCTATTCATCTCCAATATTTCAAATTTTAGAATTGCTTACAATTTTGATAATTTTCTATATAGAATAGCATACTATTAAGTATCACCAGCCTGTATTTGAATGTGACTTTGTATTGCAGGTTGTGCTGATCTAGGGGTATGTCTCCACATGTCATCCAGTGGTCTAGATCTTCCCATGAAAGTAGTTGACATGTTTGGCTGTGGCTTACCAGTTTGTGCAGTACATTTCAATTGGTTAGTAAACATTACATCTCCCAGAATATTCATGTGTTGTCAAATACTGCAAATATAGTCAGTTATCACTCATCAGGTGTCACTGCACATTATTTTGGCCTAATTTTAACATGAGAAATTGTCAAATTATTCAAACTGTTAGAAATGAATTAAAATCGAGAAAACCTTAGAAGAAGTGAATTTAAGTTTTTATAAATTATTGAGAATCGGAGCCAGAAAACTTACCAGACATTGTTCAAATCTTTCGGAAAAGCAAGAGTGAATTTCAATGATTGGTTACCAAATGGTATCCAAATATAGGCATGCTGAAGTAAACTGTACTCAGAAAGCTGATCTTTACTTCTTTGTGATTTTTATAATTAAAATGTTTATTTCATCGAATTAATGCAAATAATATGGCATTTTACATTAAATGTTCAAAAAGTAAATGATATATTTTGCTTTATTTTAGTTTGGATGAGTTGGTGCAGCATGATAGCAATGGTTTAGTATTCCATAATGAACAGCAGTTAGCTGAGCAATTACAGGTAATGTCACAATAAGTACTATCCCAACATGTCACAGTCAGCATAATGTGACAGTCAGAATGATAGCAATGGTTAAGACTTCCATAATGAACTGCAATTAACTGAGCAATCACAGATAATGTCACAATTTATTTATGTCACAGTCAATATTATGTCACAGTCAACATTATGTTACAGTCAACATTATGTCACAATAAACATAATGTCAATGTCATCATTATGTCAATGTCATAAAAATATCACAGTTGACATTATGTCACAGTCAACATTATGCTACAGTCAACACTATGCCACAGTCAAGATGTCAATCTCATAATTATGTCACAGTCATTATGTCACAGTCAAGATTATGCCACAGTCACGATTATGGTACAGTCTTTACTTGTCACAGTTAGCATAATTTCAAGGTCATCATTATGTCACAGTTGTCATAATAATGTCACAGCTGACATTATGTCACTGTCATCAGCAAAAAGCATTAACTACATCTTCATTGTATAAATTATAAAATTAGCATCAACGACTGTATATAAAAGTTTGAAAATAGATGTCAGATTTATCAGCATTTTGTGAACCATGTTTAATCTAAATATTTCAGATGATACTTTAAATCAGTTTAATTTTGCAACATTGCTGTTTGCCTATACATTTTTACAAAACCGCTTCATCAAAATGTCTAGAATAGCTGACGATGTTATGAAAATAGCAGATTTGCTGAATAAAATGCTACAAATTCAATTTACAGTCTCTTTACATGATATTAATTTATGGTATTTAAACATAATTGAATATGTATTTCAGGATCTCTTGTCAAACTTTCCAAAGCAGCAACAAAAATTGGATAAATATCGTGAGAATCTGAAAACATTCCAGAGTAAAAGATGGAAGGAATGTTGGCAGCAGACAGTATTACCTTTGCTCAAGTCATAAACGAACAGAATCTCAAAGAGTATCTCTCATTCACAGAAGAGTATAATGCCTCGCCATCAATTTTATGGAAAAAATATTAATTTTGATCATTTTTCAATTGATGCATTGAAAATCTATTTATGTGTTTGATATGTGTATGATGTATTATTACTCAACTAACTCAAATTTGCCCCATCTATTTAAATTCACCCCACCTCAAGGCAGAATCACATCTAGCAAGTATTCCATTCCTGAAGAGTACTCTTGACAACATTTGTTTCAATTTTAGAATATTTTTGGCTCATGTCATTCCTTGTCCTGTCTATTTTCTTAAAATTCCCAAAAGGTGTACTGTATTTGAGGAAAACTGAAGAATTTTACAACAATGCATTCGTTTTTTTTGGGAGAATTTAAACATCTTTCCCCATTTTAATAACCAATTTATAACATATCTTGGATCTTTTGGGATATATTATATTTGAGATTGTAACAAACATATTGAATGGTCGCCTCAACGGATTGCTTGCACTTTTGTTACCCCCTATTGATCTAATTCTGCCTTTTAGATACTTGCTACTTCATCTCTTCAAATTTATTCAAATTTAGAAAAAACATATGTTTACATAATTATAATAGTTGCTATTATATCAACTATTATTATGTAATAATAGTCGTAATCAATTATAATTGTCATCAACTATTATACAAATAGTGACTGCAATTGAGTGAAACACTATTTCCCGAAAATATGGCAGAGACTATTTGTTTTTCATATACCATTACATGTATCAACAATGGTAAACACTCAGGTTTATAGTGCCTAACATGCCTAATTGGACAGAAATGCCAAAATATGAGAAAATTGTATTCAAATTTAAGAGAGAAGTAGTTTGAATGTACATGGCCAGGTGTACACTGAAAACACATAAAAAAGTAAAATTATAAAACATCTTTGTTATTATCCCAGAATGCTATAAACGAGCACATTATTTTCATGGAAAACTAGAAGGATATCAGTTACAAGGTTCAAAGTAAAGAAAGGAGTTAATGTCAGCTCAAGCTGCAGAAAAACCAGGGCATCTTGTCTTAAATGACTTTGACATCTCATTAATATCTTTGATACATGTCATAAGAGGTCACTGTCCTTAAATCTGATTATCACAAATGATTGTACAGTTTTGATTAGCTCTTTATAATCACAAATGAACGAGACTTTAAATGTGAGGTCATTAGAACTATATAATATAAAATGGAGATAGTGATAGAAAAGATCCCAAGGAAATGATAACTATACAGATTGGATATTAGAATATAATATAAACCACATTCCTTCAAATATAAGTAACAGGATTCTATTACTGAATGTGTTGCAATCTCCATTTAATTGAAAAGAGACAGACATTGTATTTTATTATGTCACCACCAAAAGTGGTGACATATTGTTATGGTCTCCGTTTTTTTGCGACGGCGGTTGGTGGTTGGCGTCCGGCGGTTGGTGGTTGGCGTCCGGCGTATGTAACAATTTCTTACAACTTCCTATAACTTAACAAATACTGTTTAGACTGACTTCAATTTTTTTCTAAATCATCTACTTGTTCTCAGAAGTTCAAATCTGACTTTAGATTTGACATTTGACCTTCAATGACCTTCTCAAGGTCAAAAAGGTCTTTTTTCAACTTGCTTCACATTGACTAATTTTTTTTTCAAAATCATCTACATGTTCTCAGAAATTCAAATCTGACTTTAGATTTGACATTTGACCTTCAAATCTGACTTTAGATTTGACATTTGACCTTCAATGACCTTCTCAAGGTCATAAAAGGTCAAAAAGGTCTGTTTTCAACTTGCTTCAAATTAACTAAATTTTTTTTTCAAAATCATCTAAGTGTTCTCAGAAATTCAAATCTGACTTAAGATTTGACTTAAGATTTGACATTTGACCTTCAATGACCTTCTCAAGGTCAAAAAAGGTCAAAAAGGTCTGTTTTCAACTTGCTTCAAATTGACTAAAAAAATTTTTCAAAATCATCTACGTGTTCTCAGAAATTCAAATCTGACTTTAGATTTGACTTAAGATTTGACATTTGACCTTCAATGACCTTCTCAAAGTCAAAAAAGGTCAAAAAGGTCTTTTTTCAACTTGCTTCAAATTGACTAATTTTTTTTTTCAAAATCATCTACATGTTCTCAGAAATTCAAATCTGATTTGAGATTTGACATTTGACCTTCAATGACCTTCTCAATGTCAAAAAAGGTCAAAAAGGTATTTTTCAACTTGCTTCAAATTGACTAATTTTTTTTTTCAAAATCATCTACATGTTCTCAGAAATTCAAATCTGACTTTAGATTTGACATTTGACCTTTAATGACCTTCTCAAGGTCAAAAAAGGTCAAAAAGGTCTGTTTTCAACTTGCTTCAAATTGACCAAATTTTTTTTTTCAAAATCATCTACATCTTTTCAGAAGTTCAAATTTGACTTTACAAGTTCTCAGAGGTTCAAAAGGTATTTTCCAACTTGCTTTAAATTGACCACATTGTTTTAGGTGGTGACGTTTTGTCATGTTAATGCCTTGTACGAGGGTTGATCCAAAAGTTTCGAACCGTTTGCTCTAAAAATCTTAATATTGTATGAATATTGTTCATATTTGGCCACAACCACCCCATATATAGTAGTTTCATTTTGTGTAAAAATAAACAATAAATTTGACCAGCAACATAGGTGTCTGGTTACCATAGCAACACGACAACAGGGTAGGTGGAGCAAGAGTACGACACAGTTATCCTGATTCAACTTCAATGGAGCTTATCATTCAAAGATCAGTTACAAAACCTTATCAATCACTTATAAAGTTGTAAACTAGATTACTTTTATGAGGTATGTTGATTTATTTTGAGTCAATCAATAAGTTATGACACTTACTCGGTTTAAAAATGTTTTCCAAATGCTTAAAGGCCCAACTACAGCCCCATCAGCCATATTCTTCTGATATGGCACAATGTGACTTTTATATGTTTCCTGAGGCCAAGAAACCACTGCGTGGCATCCATTTCGATGACGAAGCTGACCTTATCCAGGCATTCACTAATAGCGTTTTTGCTACAGCTAAAGGTGAACTTCACCATGTATTTCAGAACTTGTTGAAACGCTATAAGAAATGTGTAGCGCATGGTGGTGACTATTTTGAAGGCGAATGAACTTATAAACTATAATTACCTATTGTAGGAGATTTTATTGGGGTGAAACTCCACGAATTGAAATGATCTGAAATATGATTGCTGTAATTCGGAATAAAGTTTTATTTATTCCAGCTCCACCTACCCTGTTGCCATGTTGCTATGGTAACCAGACACCTATGTTGCTGGTCAGATTTATTGTTTATTTTTACACAAAACGAAACTACTATATATGGGGTGGTTGTGGCCAAATATGAACAATATTCATATAATATTAAGATTTTTAGAGCAAACGGTTCGGAACTTTTGGATCAACCCTCGTATATGATGTGTCATATTTACATTGCCACCCTGGATTGCCACCCTTTCCATTGTACCACTGTTTAAAAAGTGTTTGGGTGTCTCAAAAAATGTACCCAAAAGTATATCAACAGCATAGACAAACCAATCAATATTTTCAGAATTTTTTGCATGGTCTTGTAGATAAAAGATGAAAGTTCTTTCCCCTATACACAGTTTTTAATTCAGTTTTGCCTTTTTTTGATACTTTAACCCGTTACCTTTTACACCACATATTCAATGTAACGTCATATTGACAGTCTGCATCCTCACTACTACATTGTTCATCACATTTGCTATTTCTGGTGGAATGTTTTGATTTCTGTTCTGTGAATGGTCCTTCAAATAGTCTCAGAATAAAAAGTATGGGCCGTCAAATATGGTGAATACATACACAATGTCTTATAGCCCCCTTATACAGAGAGGTCAGACATTCAAGAAACTGCATTGGTTGGGATTCTAGTGTAGCCTTTGTTGTGTGTATCAATTTGAGACCACTGTGTTTTCATTTGGATAACATTTGGTCTCCAGGCTAGCCTGCGTAACTCTGGAAGGTAACTCCTGAATCATTTGCTGATAATTGACCTGATTCTCTGTGTTTGTTCTGTCATTGTCATCCTCAAACATCTTTTTCTGTGGCTATTTGAAGGAGTGTTTTTAATTAATGCTCATTCCATGCAAAAGACCTAGGGCAACATTCAAAGAGTAATCTAAAACATTCCACCGGAATTATTATCAAATGTGATAAACAATGTAGCAATGAACAATATGAGGTTAAATTGATTATGTGGTGTAAAAGGTAAAGGGTTAAAGCATCAAAAAGTCAAGACTGAAATAAAAATGGTGTATTGGGGAGAAAACTTTCATGTTTTGGCTACATGACCATGCAAAAAATGTCTGAAAATATTGATTGGTTTATCTGTGCTGTTGATATACTTTTGGGTATATTTTTCTGAGACACCCTGTACATCAATATTTCAACCACCAACTGTGCTGTATAAATATAATACCCTTTTGGATAAAAATCATATCTCTCAAAAAGCATCTGTAGGTACATTTTTATTATACTATTTGGTTGTTTATATGGTCATCTGGTATGTTGTATGTAAAGGTTAATAAATATGGGTAAATTGAAACTGTATAGTTATGTTATTTTATTTTATCACTTCGGTAGGGATAAAGTGGAGCCCTCCATCCCTCTGTCAGTCCATCCATCCATCTGTCTGTTTGGAAGAATTCTAGTGAATGGATTTTCTTCATATTTGGTGGAAAGGTGAATATTGGTGAATAGTTGTACTCCAAAAAATGGTCAAGATTGCCACCGCTTTAAAAATGGTGGTAATTTTTTGTGAAAGTTTTTTTCGCAATAATATTCTCATCTTTTCAAAGTATGGCTATATTACATGTATATTCAAATTGAAAGAAAAGGGTAGATCACAGTTATGGTGTTTTTTCCAATTTCAAAATGTTTTCAAAATGGCTGCCTATGGCCCCCCTATAAAAAGGTACAATATTGTCGTCACCTTGACAGGCAGGAGGGCAGGTGGAGTCTCACTTTCTTGTCATCACAATTCCACGAAATTTTCACACATGTTACGTGGTAAGAAGTTCTAGAGCTGATTAACTTTTCAGTGGCCATCTTGCATTCTGGTGGCCATCTTGGAAGTTTTATGATAAATCTTGTCATTGCAATTCCAGGAAAACCACTGAACGGATTTACTTCAAATTTTCACACGTGTTACATGGTAAGAAATTACCTTTTAAGAGTTTTGAGATAAA